ACATCTGCCTCTTGTCCCTACTTTTTTCTGAAGTATTTTTACATTCAGTGTGTTAAAGATTATTATCCTGAGTAATACTTTTCATGTATAGCAGTTATGATCTCTCATATAAATAAAACTCACTGGCCCCCAAGAACAACTAATGATACTGTAAGTTGAACTTCTTGGTTTTGTTTGTTTGTTTTTTTGGGGGGGGGGAAGTAAGTGAAGAACAAATTATTTCTGTAGCGGTTTGACCATGTGCATAAGCACTTGGTTGATAGTTTAAGTGATACTTTATGAATGTCGTCGGTATTTCATTTATTCTTTCAAGAAAGAAAAACTAAACCTGTAGGTTAGGAAGGAGTTTTCTTTTTTAACACTTGCAAGCAATTTTTTTAATTATAAAAACAAAAACCCACTTAACCACTATTCACCTAACATTTATGCCCATCTTAAATGTCTCAGGAATAATAATTGTTTCCATTTGCAGTACTTGCAGGGCTATTATGTTGTTTTCAGTCATGATAGGTCAGTCATGAACCTCTAAGAATTCAAAATATTTTCTGAGGCTTAATATAGAAAATAGACACCATTTGCATTTTTATTTCTCGCATTTCATAACTAGGCCTTTATAGAAATGTGAAGAATAACATTCAATATTTTCTGCCAAAAAGTTTTCCTTACTGCTCTAAACAGTTTGAGAAGGGGGGGGCCTTTTTGTAGGGTTTGTCACACCACTCAATTCAAATGTGATACAGAAAATTCACAATGTGTAATATTGTAGCTGGTCCTAAAATGAGCTGTGGGCTTCTGTTTTGTTTTGTTTTTTATAGAACACTTGAAAGCTCTGTTTTCTTTGAGTACTGTCGTATCTCCTCCCATCACAAGCTGTATCAAAGTCTTGTTTCTACTTTAAAGTGGAAACTAAACTATCAGAAACCTAATGTGTTGCTCATGTTCTCAGCTGTTGCTGATAACTGGAAGAAAAGTTCCAACTTCTTATGTTGTTCTTATTAATGGTTTTAGAAAAAGCTTCATGAACAGTCACTGAATACCTACAAGTTGTTATATCATTAGCTTTGCCATGTTATATTCTTAGTTTCATGGAATTTCATGGATAGGGTGCATAAGTAAGACTTCAGCTGTGAACCGGGAGCTGGGTTGACTTCTCTTATACTTCCTTTCAGTTCGCTTCTCTTGTAGAGGAATATTGTCTGCTAGTGGAGTCTACAGAGTGGATTTTTCTTGGTATCATTTTATTTCCAGTAGCTCACTAGCACTAGGCAGAGATGCTAGTAGAATATCTATGGGCTTTTCACCACATCAGTTACCTTATTGCTTATCATACTTTCTTCATTCAAATATGGAATCTGCCATTTCTTGCATGTTGTCTGTGTGAGTGTGAAAACATATTTACTATCTTTCCTCCAAGCAGTATGTAGGGGAGTTTTGTGGACCTAAAAGTAGTGGCTGCAAATCTCCCTTTCTTCCTTACCTATCTGGGATACAGTGAAAACCTGTTTACCCTCACAAAGAGGATTTTTCTGTTCAAGCCAGAGAGTTTAATTCTAAAACTCATTACTTGCTGATATGTGCTTCTTTATTCTTTAGATAATGTTACAAGATCTCTGAATTTCAAATACAGTTGCTTATTCTTTGTGTTGTCAGCAGCATTCAAAAGTGTAATATATTGAAATTTATATCAAGAGATATATATAGAAAGAGATATATATGGTTTGGGTTTTTTTTTTTGTATGTGCTTATTAATTGGTATTTAAGTGCTTCAAACTTGCAGAAGGGAACAAACACTATTGCCTGTATGCAAAAAGCCACAACTTTTGCTGCCCTGTCACATTAACCAAGACAACAGCCTATAAAAGGATAGTAAGTGCTTCTTCTCTGTTGGGTTTTATAATTTTTAAAAAGTTTGAATAATATATCCTCTAGAATGTAACAAAACAAAATACTGAACTACCATGCAATAGTTTGTTAAAAGCCGTATGTTTTCTTTAGGTGTTGTTCTGCTTATTTTGATTTCATAAAGTAGACTAGAAAATACTATGTTATGTTATATGATGTATAAATCGAGCTAGAAAGGGGAAAACTGGGTGCACCAATAGGCTGGCGATGTGTGGCGGGAGATTAGCATCAGCTGAGGAAAGTTTTGTGTTTCCAGAAAGGTAAGGTTTCTGTTCCTGATGTGTTGAATATATTTCTTTCCTTAGTTATATAGTATTCAAACATTGTACACTGAATTGCTTGTATGTTTTTTTTTAAGTCATCTTTAACTGTACTGAAGGAGGTAATGTTACTGCAACCTACTTTACTTAAAGACATGAAAGTAACCATCAAGTCTTACTTTTTAGTGTATTATTTCAAATTTGTAGAGGTTTGTATTCCCATATTTTACATGCAGTTGAAGAGATTTGGGTCTCTGCGGATGTTGTCCTTGTTACATGAATCTTTTATTGTGAAGTATTCTCAGTGTGTGTATTATTCAAGTTTCAAGGTGTTAGCAACTTGTGAAAGGTATTAATGCCTTCTGACTATTAAACACCAAGGCAGTATTTATCATACACATTTAGAGAATTAATGGACCATTAGGACTTTACATCCCATTTGAATCTAGCAATCAGGTGGTCCAGAATTACACTGCTGATTTTTATGAAGAGGCAACCTGTTTCACAGCTAAAGTTTATGATGCAACATTCTCACTCACAACTGTCTTAATGAAGACATAGTGGTATTGGAAAATCACCTAGTGTCTCTTCTAGCAGTTAGTGTAATTTAGCTTACCTTAATTGAATAGATTTCTAAGGAATAGCTTTGCCTGGCTTTTTTGTCAGACCAAGAGGAATTCTTCAGATTGCTTTTCAGAGTTCTTGCATTTCCAAAATCCGTATTAATATTATGCAGAAGAGGCTGATATTTTGTTTTCTATAGTGTTAATTGTACTCCCTACTGTATCTGATTTTGCAGTAGAAATAATGTTAATAGGACTTCACTGTATTTAATTTCATGTCAGTGCTACCGTACAGGTGCTTATATCGGTATGCTGTTAAGGCATGTTGTTAACTAATACTGTTCTACAACATATACAAAGGAAACAAGTACTAGTAATAAGTTCACAGCAGTACTGACACTTTATGTGGGAATTCCTACTGGTAATTGTATTTTCTATCTGATTTTAGTAGTATCTGCAAAGGTTAATATTTCCATTTAAAACTATTAGTGACTACAATTTAATCTTGGGGAATGATTAACAAAAATTTAGTTAAGGTGTCAGAAAGAAGGTATGGATAAATGTTTAACTGCTAAGTTTTCGGAATAGAGAATTGAGAAGTCAGTGAGATGGGCATTTTTTCCTGTAATGGGTCTGTCTGCAGGTTTTAACTTTTTTACCGAAATGCTTCATAACAATACAGGCTGCAAATGTAGCTTCTGTTAATGACTTCCATTAATTCATACGTTTTTAGTAAGAAAGTAATGAGTACATGAAAGCTTTGAATGGATGTTTCTATATTCAGGTGGTGTGATATGTAAGAAACTCACTCTGGATGTAGCATTTAAGTCCTGACTGAGAAAGTGCAGAACTGTTTGGTAGTTGTTGAAAGAATAACAACATAAACAAAATCTATTGATATCATTGTGTGGTGTTCAGATGAAAACAAATAGTGTCCATTTTAATTTTGCTGAAGCTAGATGAAAGTCCCGTGGTCAAACACAGGAACTGCTTTTCAAAATTTTTAAAGGGATGCCCATTAAGCAAAAGAAGTGTGCACTTAAATTGCTGTACTCAAAAGAATTTGGCTTATGCATAGACTAAGAAATGCTGGTTCACATTTATGTTCACTGAAGTGTATTAACAGCTCAGACTGACTTTAGTTTACTGTATTATGACATACTATAAGAGATCAGAGTAAAATGAATAAAATGTATATTGTTTCAACAGCTAAATCACAAAAGTTCTGCTCGTGTTGTTGGTTGCATTTTAATACTTTATGTCTTGACAGGCTTATTTACAAAGATAATGAACGTCCCTGTGCTGATGACTTTTGAGTTCTGTTGCTGTGACAAGCCTTTCTCTTAACTGATCGCTTTGTTTACAATTTGATTACAAATTAGTCACTTTTTTTTTTAAGAATTCAGTTTTGCACCCATGATTCTTTTCTCAGCCATCTCTGTGACCTGGTTTTGCTTTTTGTGAATGTAAAATGTAGCAGACTACCTAGAAGTAGTTCTAAAACTCTGCTATTGGATTTTGGCTATCTAGGGTAAATCTAAGACTATCTAAACTTGATAGGTTTTTCAAAACTTGAAATTATTCTAATGTTTTTATAAATAAAAAAATCAGGAAGTAGGGGTGATATTAAAATAACACTGCCAAAATTTTGGAGAGTTTTACAGAGGTGGTAGCTGTTGAGATAGATGCTGTGCGGAGCATTCCTATGGCATAATGCTGCATAAATTGCTTTGCCTATGGGTGAGTGGGCTGGTTTTCCAAATGTTCAGGAAAACAGAAAAATTTAGTTGGTCGCTTGCAAGGCAGCACAATTTATGTCTGATAGCTACTACTGAACTAAAAGGAGTTAGATGTGGGTTCGTACCCAAATTCAGAAATAGTCTTGATTAGATGCTCAGTGGGAAGTGAAACTTAAAACATCTTTGCCCAGTTGGTTGCTTGTTCTACCCAACATTCTTGAGCAATGCTCTTCCTGCTTTTGACATTTCTCTGCCAAAGAAACGATTGGCACTAGGTACCGGTGTCCAGTATTATGTCTGAATCAAGCTTCATGTTCTCAATGTGTGTGTCCAACTTTATAATTTAGAAACCACGTGAATGCTGCGTTAAAACTCTTATCATGAAATAATTTGTAAATACTATCTTTGAGATACTGGGAATATTTAAAGGGAGATTTTTCATAGTCATTTAGGATTTTAAAATCGTAATTACATTTGAAAAGATGATAATTTCTGATTTAAAATGTTGGTTTTTTGTTTCCTTGTGTAGGTATGTAGGAAACCTCTCCAGAGATGTGACTGAAGTTCTTATACTTCAGTTATTCAGCCAGATTGGACCATGCAAAAGCTGTAAAATGATAACAGAGGTAAGGCCTTCCACATCCAGGGGGGTAGCAAATATAATGTAACTTAGGATAAAGTTGTGCAAAATAAATGGAGTTGGGGGCTTCTTTTGGCATTACTGTAGTGGTTTTTTTAGGTTGATTGTGTTTGGCTTTGGGCGTAACTTTTTGCAGAAGAGACCTGTTGTTGTGTACAGTTCTGTACTTTTGCTTGTAGCCCTGACGTACCTTTTATCAGCTGATGATGAGATTCCACTTTATTTAAAAGATTGTTACCCCCTCTTTTCAGAACCACGTTGTTCTGATGATCAGAAACCTTATTATTTCAAGTGTTACTCATGGCTATTTTGTACATTTTTTACTTTATTTGAACACGAGCCTCAGTAATTGTTTTCCCTCTCAAATAAATGCTTCTTCACTATGGACGAAAAGTAAAAAATCCTTCAGAATAGGTTTTGCTCTTCCTGAGCTGCTTCTGTGCCAGTGTGAATAGCTCGTGTCTGCACCTGTCTGTTCTTAAATTAATTTTTTCTTGAAACAAAGTGACAAAATTTCCATAGTGTTCCAGATAAGGTCTTTTGTACAAAGTGTTGGTAAGTATTAATACTTTCTTCTCTCAGTTGTAAATACTCTGGTACGTTTAGGGTTGGTAGCCATTTCTGTGATCTTGTTGGCACATCCTAGGCAACTTCTCGCTCCCTAATATTTTCCTTCCTTCTGCATTTATAACTGATAAACTTCAAACAGGCAGGGACTAATCGGAACTTTTGCGAGGTTTAATCTTTGGTTCTTCAACTCTGGTTTTCTGTATGGTCTTCCTACTTTTTACTACTTCTTATGCTTCGTACTAACTTGTAATTACAGATTTCCTGAGTACAGTCACTTTTTTTTTTTGGTCAAGATTGTTAAAGTATTAAAAGGCAAGTCTTGCAACCAAACTTCTTTAGGAACAATACTAGTAACTCCTCTGTGGTGGTCTTTTCCTTTCAATGTGACACACTGCTTTTTTGTTTTTAGCTGCTTATTATCCACCCAATGCTTGTTTAATCACACTCATCTTTGTCTTGACTAATAATTTCCCATTTGGCACTTTATTAAAACTTCTTCGTGAAGATAAGAGCTCTGCCACATTTTCTGTAAGTTTATTGGAGAAAGATAACTAAACAAGAGGATAACAGCACAGTTGTTAGTTTTTCTCTGAAGAAGCAGTTTTGACTGTCATACGCTCTTCAGAAATAAGGTACTGCTGCTCCAACCTTCAGTTGATCGAGAGATATTAGCATCAGAGATTTCTTGACAACCAGATGAGAAATTCCAACATTCATTTTACCTTGATTTAGGCTTTGTGGTTTTGAGATTTTACATAACCATAGAAATAACAGTGAGACACCTTTATGAAATAAGTAGGTAAACAAAAAGCTACTTGCAGCTATATTCAGTCATACGGAGGTGAATGCACTGGGCTGACCTTAGCACCTGTCACCAAGCAGTCAGCAAGTGTAGGATGGATTCTAGACTGGAACTGGCCTGTAGCTACAGCGCTTTTAACTGTCAAAGTACCTGTCCATACTGTCCATCCTGCTAATCAGTATGTTGTAAACTTTTCATAGGCACTGAGTTACATTTAAGTGGTTCTTACCTGTCCATTGTTATTGCCACCATCAGTCAAGTTTATACCCAAATGTTTTCAAAACTTTTGTGACAACCCCCCCCACCTTTAGCCAGGTGCATCAACTGTTTGCTCACTCTTTTTCATTTGTAGAATGTGACGTGAACATGTCAAGTGTTTAGAGATTTCAAGTGTTTATTTGGGGGGGGGTATATAATACTCAGGGGGTGATGTGGCTAGCATTTACAGGTATCTTGAACACCTAAAGATCTGGGCATCTGCAAAAGAGGCTCTTCTCATGTTCAGACAAATTCTTAGTGCTAAAGAAGACCTCCCCACAGTCTAAGAGTAAAATTGCACTTCAGTTGAAGCATAAACTATGCTAAATCTGCTAAGTCCTTAAATGGGTTTCCCAAATCTTGTTTTCATTGCAGCAGGAAAATAGTATGGGAAGAGGGGTGAATTAAGGCTTAAAGTTTTGGGGCATCTGGAGTGAATGTGCTTTTAGAGCACTTCGTGGCTGTTGTGACTTAAACTCTTGTTTTTATCATCTCAGGTATATTTTCTCCTGTCTGTTCATTTTGCATCAGTTAGAGACACCTAGTACTGACAGTGTTTAGAAGGAAGACTTCAAACTACTTGATCATTTTATGTATATAAAGGCCTTGTCATCAGCTCAGCTATTAGATCTTAATAGCTTCCCTTGTTCAGGTGTAGACAGAACTATGTTTGAAGATGTTCAATCCAGCTTTACGGGGCAGAATTAGAATTTCTTTGTTCATATAAGCGTGTATGAATTTTCAGAAGTTAAATAGTAAAACTGGTAAAGGCCTACTCTTAACCTGTGTTAGAGCTATGCTCTACCTGACACTGGGGGAGGTTGATATGCAAGAATACTGATGCCAAAACAGTTTCTTTACGTGCTAGACCCTTCCCTGTTCATACAAGAAGTAGTTTGTTTAGTTTAATACTGGTGTTTATCATCTTGTAGTCCATGTACATGCAGAGTGGTTACTGTGGATACTTTGGTGTAAGGTTCTAGTTTTTGTACTCTTTACGTCTTCTAGGCAGATTAAATCCAACGTTAAAGTTGGTATTCTAATCATCATTTCCACTTGATCAACTTTTCTGAAAACTTTTACGTTCTTTGCACTTAATACTCTGGTATATTTAATACTTCAGTGAGCTTTGTTTGTCAGTTAGTATTTTTAAAGGTGATTCGATAGGCCATCCTACAAAAACAGGTTATACCCAAGATTTACCAGAGTAACAATCAATTGATTAATATCTTTTTCCCTCAGTCAAACTATTTTGAGTCCTTTTAAAGGGTTATTTCCCAGTTGCTGGGTATAACATTTTTCACTTGAGAGTGAGAATATGCAACTTCTAGGTTGCTGTCTGCTAGTGATTTTCAGGCAAATAAGAGGAAAAACTTCTTCAGTAGCAGGAGAGAGAAAATTGGCAAAAATGTACCTGGGGAACAAACCTTTCAAGCTTTGAGTATATATGTGAGGCAGAAGACCATTTTTGTTCTTCTCTCCATTCTTCTCCTTTTTTCTCCCCTTCCATCCAGTCTGCAGATCACTTTTCTGGTAGTTGAATTATTTTTAGTTTAGTAAACTTAGAGTACTGAGCCCCCATACAAAGTAAACTATACTTCAGAAATTGCTAGACCTTTAATAAAAAGTCCGTCTTAATAATTCTTGCATTTAAGTGTAATGTCAAAGGCTATTTCATAAATCTAATGCAAATCATTCTTAAAGTTTCTAGCTATAAGTAATATATTTTCCTGGATTTTCTTCTCAGCAACCCGATAGCAGAAGGGTCAACTCTTCTGTTGGATTTTCTGTTTTGCAGCATACAAGCAATGACCCTTATTGCTTTGTGGAATTTTATGAACACAGAGATGCAGCTGCTGCATTAGCTGCTATGAATGGGAGAAAAATTTTGGGAAAGGTAAGTTGCTTCCATTGTAATCTTAGATTTAAGGAGTATAGGTTTGTGTAAAAATATTAATAAAACTGTGGGGCATTCATTTTGTTGAAGATGTTTACCAAGGCTAAATATTGTTAGAATAATATTTTTAAAATACTGATTTAAAAAAGTAACTCTTGTTCTGGAAACATATTGTTTGTGATGTTCTAATTACTACAGTGTTTTATATTGAATGATCATTTGTAAACATTGACAGTTCTAACCCACCCTTGAATGAACTTATAAAATGTTAGAATTGTGTGAATTTATACTAAATCTTATACTTATTTTCAGGAGGTCAAAGTAAACTGGGCAACAACACCAAGTAGCCAGAAAAAAGATACATCCAGTAAGTAAAGTAATGCCACAGTATCACTTCTGCACAAATACTTCACAATGTGGTAATAATTTGTCATAAATGCATTTAAACATAACGTTTCTCCTTCCCATCTTGTGTTTAATAGAATTTTGCAAACTAATTCTTCTGTTTCTGCTTTACAACTGGGGAAACTGGAGTGGACAGATTAAATTGCTGCTGCTCATCAAATGGAGTCCTGGGCGTTCGTGGTTCCCAGTGCTGTGTGCAGAGCATCACTTTCTCAGGAGTTGAAATTTCAGATAGCAGTTAAATATTTGATTAGTAAATCATTTATTTTCAGATCACTTCCATGTGTTCGTTGGGGATTTAAGTCCAGAAATAACAACAGAAGACATCAAGTCAGCATTTGCTCCTTTTGGTAAAATATCGTAAGTATCATAATAAACATTTCTAATATCAGTTAGAAAATATGACAGTGAAAATTTGTTTCTGAGTTGAAATGCTATTTCTTATCTTTTTAGATAATTTTTCTGATGTTAATTTCCTTATGTTGGGTGGGCAGTAAAGAGGGGTCATTGTTTCATCTCGGTATCTATCATGATTGTAAATACAGTAATGTAATTGTGCTCTGGTTTTGCTGAAAGGAATGTGCTTTTAACCTAATTTATATGCTAATGTCCTTCAACTTTTTATTAAAATTTAATTACTGTTCCTAAGTGTGACTTCTTGTTGTTCAAAATGTGTACAGAGTAGTGACTTGACAACTGGTATATGTTGCATCCTCAGTGTATTTTGCATGCATTCATGCTGCATTTCGTAGGTAGTATAGAAAACTAGGCAATTGGAATATAATTTATGAAGCAGCTAGTTGAATAACTTGTGAACATTTTGAAAAAAGCTAATACTTATGAGAATGAAATCTACGTTTTTGGATGATAACAGGGGATGAATTAAGATTATAATATTTAAATGAAAGAATGGTGGATTTACATTATGTGCACATTTCTGCCGGTTAAGAGAATGTTTCTTTAAACTTCTCATAGATAATTCAGGTGATACTAAATCACTTGGTGTTTTAATTGAACATATTTAACATTACAAGAATCCTTGTGAGTGCTAAAGTGTGTATGTCCTTGAGATTACTGCTACAAAAAAGTCTGTTAATCTTCTATCAGTTTATCTTTATAAAAATCATTCAAAGTTGCACATGAACATTTTTGTACTACTTTACAGGAATATATTTCTAAGAACAAAATTCTTATTTTTCTCTTGTTCTGTACGCATATTTTTAAATGAATCATAAATCTTATTTCTTACCTCTGCTATTTTGTTTACTTTGCTTTTTGTCTCTTAATGTGGTAAGTAGTATTGTTTTAAAAATCGATTTAAAGAGAATAATTCAGGTTTCTGTTTCTCAATCTATATTTATACCTGAGACCTGCAGTTTTTCTAAAGTCCAAGTCACAATTAAAAGTAATAGCATTCTGGTTATTTTGCAGAATTGCTCATAAGAATGGACAGGATCTTGAAGGCTAACTGCAAGGAACTGTGCACACTGGAACTCAGTTGTAGATTTTTTCTCATTTCTATTTATTCTTATTATACATTATTTATATA